CGCGCGCGAGGAAGCTGAGGCTCAGGGCAGCTGTGTGACGGCCAGACCACCGGGCAGGCTCGTGGTGGAACCAGGGGTCAAGGCACAGCCCGGGGGAGTCGCCACGGAGCGGGCAGGAGGCGGGGGCTGCTGGCTGGCCTCTCGGCGGGAGGGAGAAGGAGGGCAGGGGAGGAGGAGGGACCCCGTCTGCCCCCAGATGGATACTCGTTACCAGAGGAACAATGTGCCGTGTTTGCAGAGCACCTCGGAAGAAGCCACAGCGGGCTGCAGGCGGTAGGTGGGTTCATTCTGGCGAGAGGGTCCCCGGGCCCTGCCCCCTGTGGGGCCCTGGCTCCGCTCCTCACCCACGGGAAGCTCTGCGGCCGGGCCTGCCTTTCCAGCCTTGCTCTGAGAGAGCTCCCCATGGTCCCCCCACAGGACTTCAAGCCCAGTCTGGGGGAGGCCCTCCATTCAAGGTGGAGGGGACCCTCTCTTCCTCTGAGCCTTTCACACACCCTGCCGCCTACCCCCCTTGCCCCCGATTTTCAAGCCCTCACCCCCACTCACCGTGATGGAAGCGCTGTTCTCCCCCAGCCCCTCGGAGATGCTGGCGCATCTGTCCCCAACCCCCAGGTGCAGCCTGGAGCTCAAGACAGAAGCCCGGGTCCTGCAGACGGCAACGCCTTTGCCTCTGTCTGCTTCCTGTGACCCAAACTTTGTCCCCTTGAACTCAGTCACCCCCCAAGAAAGCCACTTGCCTGTCCCCTCCCTCCTGTGGCCAGTGTGTCAGCAGGAGGCCTGGAGAGGCTGAGCCCCGTGTCCAGGGCCACTGGGGGCCACTGCGCCGCCAGGGAGGCCAGGGGCTGTGGCTGCGCCCAGGGGGACAGAGGTGAGCGTCTCCTAGCCTCTCCCACGCTTACCTTCCCGCTCACGCCCTCTCACCAGAGCTGTCTCTGGCTGTCTGGGTGCCGGGCCAGGGTCCCTTCTGCCACCCTTTGGGGGCCGGGGTCTACCGCACAAACAGGTGCTGGCGTGAGGAGGCCGAGCTGCGTGCCACCGACCGTGAAGAGAGGGAGTGGCAGGACAGTGTCCACAGTCTGCGTGTGCGCTGTGGCCGGGGTGACACGGCCCTGGTGCCCCTCCCGCTGGGGCCCGCTTTCCTGCTCCTGGGGTGAGGAGCAGAGGAGGTGGGGGGCCGGGGCTCCAGAGTCAGTGGTGGCTGCAGGGGTCAGGCCGTGTCCGCAGAGATGCGTGTGACCGCCCTGCGTCCACAGGCTCCTCCCCTACTCAGGACACCCACGATCGCCTCCTGGAAACGCTGCCCCTCAAGGCCCCCTGCGCCAGCCTCTCTGCTGGGGTGGGGGGGGCCTTCACTCACCCCAGTCCCCTCTGGGTCCCCAACACCCCCGTTCTGCTCCGGCACGGCCACCACTCAGGTTCCCAGCGCACATTTGTGGCCCGCCCGCTGGGCTGTGGGCACCGTGGCAGAGGCCGCGTCCCGATGCCTGCTGCTGGCCCGCCGCCTGCCTCTATTAGGCTCAAGGGCTCAGAAGGCAGCTGCGATCCGAGGCCCCGGGATGAAGGCACTTCTCAGCCTCTTGTGCCGCTACGAGGGACCCAGCTCTGGCCAGGGGGGTGAGGGTCTAGGAGGTGGCCTTACAGGGGCAGGGCTGGGCTGATAGCGTGCCTGTCCACCTCTCTGGGGTCTAGTTCCCTTTCCTGAGGGTCGGAGCGCGGACATGATGGCCACGAGGCCAAAGACCTATCTGAGGGTCCCGGGAGCCACCAGATTCAAGGAACCTGCAGTCCTGGTGACCATGAGGTCACCTCCGTAGCCCTATTGCCTGCCTGGACTTGAGTGTACAACATTAGGAGTAAACACCAATCTTGTCTCAGCCAATGTCATCGGGGCTTTCTGTCCTTAGCAACCGAATCTAATTGTATGGTGTCCCCAGGGCCTGGCGTGTTGCCTCGACCTTGGAAGCAAAGATTGTTGAATGAATGAGTGATGGGGAGCAGGCTAAGATCTGGCGAGGGAGGAGGGGAGCGCTGCCAGGTGGCGTGTGCGGGGTGTGGAGGTGCCTCCTCCCTCGGGGATGGAGAGCGAGCCGGCTTTGCCATTTCCCAGGAGGGGTGGCAACTCGTCCTTCACGGGAGATGTCATTAGCGGGGGCAACAGTCAGGGATTTGCTTTTGCGTTGTTTTTTTTTTTTTTTTTTTTTTTTTTTTTTTTTAGTTTTTTGTCGTTAAAGTAGAGAGGAGGCTATTACATGTCTCATGTCGGTGTTGATATCCTAGGAGCCCAGGGCTGTGACGAGACGGTCTCACGTGCTCGCCACGTGCTGGGCCCCTGCCAGATCTTGCCCGCNGGGGTGGCAACTCGTCCTTCACGGGAGATGTCATTAGCGGGGGCAACAGTCAGGGATTTGCTTTTTTGTTTTTTTTTTTTTTTTTTTTTTTTTTTTTTTGCCACTCCTGCTCGGCGTCAAATACCTTGGGAGGCTGTTACAAGTCTCATGTCGGTGTTGATATCCTAGGAGCCCAGGGCTGTGACGAGACGGTCTCACGTGCTCGCCACGTGCTGGGCCCCTGCCAGATCTTGCCCGCATGCGCCCCTCTCCACATGTCCCCCGCACAGGGGCCTCGCTCGGCACTCTGCGCTCCTGGATCTTGCGCTTGGCCCAGCCTCGCCAAGTTACGTGGGGAGAGTGTCGTGGGGAGAGTGTGGTGTGAGAAGTGAGCCCTGCGGGTACAGCTCACGTGCTCCCTCACGCCCCCGCGCTGCTCCCTGAGGCCACGCCACGCAGCAGGCCCTCCGCCGCGTGCTGTCGTGTGAGCCTCCTCTCAAGGAACCCCTCCTGCTGGGGGCAGGACAATGCCTAACAGAGTGACACCTCCTGGGGCGCCCAGGGGTGATACCTGCCGGGAATGGTGTCAACAGCAGCATGAAGGAAGCGGGGGGCTGCTTCCCCTGTGATGGTGAGTCTCAGGGCGAAGTTGGGGCAGAGGTTCTGTGTCCTCTGCTTGGGACCCACTCTTGCTCCATGCATGGCCCACATTCTGGGCCGGAACAAGGAGAGAGCAGACAGTCCATGAGCTGTCCAGGCTCTTCTGTCCCTTCTGGAGGGGCCTGAAGACTACTGTGCCTTCCCCCATCTACCCCCGCCAGGACGGTCACACGCCAGCTCTAGCTGCCAGCGAGGCTGGCCACCTTCCTGCCCTGAGCAAAACTGGAGTTCTGTGGCCAAGGGGCAGCTGGAGACTGGGTCACAGTGAGTCAGGTGCTCACGAAGCTTGATGGATGAGCAAATGAGGGTGATGCGGGCAGTGTGGACGTGCAAGCCTTGCTGTCCGGGCAGGGGTGAGGGAGCCAGGCTCCAGAGAGTGAGAGCAAGGGCGGGGGGCGGGGGGCGGCTCACCGCAGACCCCACGCTGACAGTGACTGACCCCCAGATCCAGCCTTACCAGGGAGAAGCCCTTGCCACTTCTCAGGTCAGAGCAAGTGGTCCTGGGGGCGGCTTTGTGTGGGAGCTGCACTGAGGTTCCTTCTGAGGACCCTCCACCCATCCCTGATCTCGCTGCTCACACCCCTGCTGAGGCCTAACGGGAAGATCCAAGCTGGGGGACCTTGAGCTAAGGACGAGCCAACCCCTGCTCTCAGGCAGGAGCCCTCCCTGCCCCTCACTCATCCTGTGGAGCGTGGAGACAGCGCGGCGTGTGCCTCATGCTCCCGCGGAGCCAGTGTCCAGCTCTCAGGCAGGCGCCTCTGGTGGGAGACCCCTCCCTGGAAGCCCCTAGGCTGTGGCCGGCAGTCACCACCGCGGTCCTGACCAGCTTCCTGTACATCCCAGCTGTCCTGGGGGCCGGGTGTCGAGCCCTGTCCGAGGCACCGCGTGCCTGTTAAATGGGTACATGCCATTGGCCCCGAGGCTGTGGTGATCACGTGAAAGCCCACCGTGGCACAGGCTGATCTGAGCACACGTGTGCCGGCCTCTGCTCGTGCCGCCCGTGCACGGGACACACACACGTACCACACGCAATCATCCTGCGCGCTCATCCGAGCTTACACGCATGCACACCTTTGTGCTCACACACTTGCGTCACGCACACACCTTTGCCCAGTGTCCACGCACACCCAGGACTTGTTCACACACACCTCTGTGGCCAAACTGAAGAACCCGTAAGGTCACAGGCATCAGGGAGCAGGGCCTGTCCCAGGAGTCCCGGCGGACCGGAGGCTGCCCGCGCCCAGCCCTGCATGGGCGCTTGGCTGTGTGGGGACAACTCCGTCCACACCCCTCCAGGCCTGACCACCAGCAGTTGTTAGAACGCCGCCTGGGACCAGGGCGGGGGAGACGGACAGGCCGGGGTTGGGAAGGACCCAGCCCTGGCTCGCCGCGGGGAGGCGGGCTCAGACACAGGGCACTGCCCAGCCCGTTTCCAGCGGGCCCAGCTCTTCTGGGGGGGCAGGCAGCGTGCGGGAGGGAGCCCGGCCCCGCCAAGGTCTCCGGAGGGGCACGTGCTGCTCCCGGGAACAGGCCCCGCGGGCCCCGGGCGCGCCTTGTCCAAGCTCAACGTTCATCCTCACACTCCTCACCCTCGCCCTCCTCGGTTCCACAGATGGGGAGACTGAGGCTCGGGGGAGATGGCGAGACTGCCGCCTCACAGGGCGGGGCAGGGGACTGAGCGTTCCCGGGGAGCCTCGTGCGGCCCTCGAGGGCGATGGCCCTCGACGCCAGCCGGAGAGCGAGTAAGACAAGGCTTTGTGGCCCAGCCAGCCGCCGTCCCTGGCCATTTCGGGTCGCCTGCGCGGGGCCGTCTGGGACTTGTAGTCCTCAGGCGCATGCCGTCCGCGGCGTGGCGCAGCTCGGGTGGCCATTGGCTGGCGCGAGGCGCCGGGGCCGATGGGACGGGCGGGGGGCGGTCTCGCGGCGTTCGCTCGGAGCGGGAGAGGTCGTCACGTGATGTTTGGGTCCCGGCTCCGCCCCTTGCACCGCCCCTCCCGCGGAGAGCAAGCGGAGCGCGCGCGCGAACCACCCCGGCCCAGGTGAGGTGGCGGGTTCGGGCCGGCGGAGCGAGGCAGGGCCAGGAGGGCCCCGCCGGGACGGCGCGCGGCCCGAGGCGTGGGAATGCGGGGGTCGGGGGTCGGGCGGGGCGCGCGGGGCCTGCGGGGGCGGGGGCGGGGCGAGGGGGGTGGTGCCTCCGCGGGAGGGGCAGGCTGCCGGGAGGGGGCGTGGTCATTGGGGGCGTGGTCTCGGTGGGAGGGCTGGGTGGACGGGGGCGGGGCGCTCGGGAGGGCCGGGGGCGCTCCGGCTCCGCCCCCCAGGGCGCGTGTGCTGGATCCACCTGAGGGCGCATGCGCGGGGCTCCCTGTGGCCTCTGTTCCCACTTGTGGGACGCAAGGGGCGGCCTCGGGGGCGTCCCGTCCGCGCCTTCCTGACTTACGAGGTGCCTCCTCGTTCTGAGTGCGGGTCCTCCCGCCCCAGCAGCCTGCAGGTGACCAGGTGTGTGCTGGCCCCGGGGGAGCCCGGCGGGGGCTCCTGTCGGGGGTGGGGGGCTCACTCACTGCTCCGGGGCGCGGGGCTCTGTGTGCGCCATCCGGCGTGGTGGCGGCAGCCATGCGTGTCCCAGGTATGGATCGCCGCCCCATCGCAGAAAGTTCTGCGGGCCTGGCCGCTGGACGGGATGGGCCTCTGCCGTCGCCGCCTCACCTGGCCCCCGCCCTGCGCGGCTGGCCTCCCGCCCTTCTGCTAGTGCTGGGGGCTGGGCCGCTCTCCCGAATAGCGTCTCCCACCAGTGTTCGCCTCCCTTCCTCTCCAGCTCCTCCTGTTCCGGCACTGCCACTGCCACGTGTGTGCTGTCGTGTCTGCAGTCCCTGGGGGCCAGAGGGCCTTCTCCACTGTGCCCCCCGCAGGGACACCGTGTTTGGGTGGAAGACACAGATGTCCAGGCTTGCAGTGTCCCGTCTGCTGAGAGCGTACTCTGGTGAGGTCGCGCCTCTCCTGTGCTGGGTCCTGCGTAGAAATGTGGTGCGGCAAGTGCCTGCCCAGGACAGCTCGGGGTCCGGAGCCAAGTCGCCAGTGCAGATGGCTGTGGGAGATGGGCGGATCCAAGAAGGCTTCCTGGAAGAGGGGAGCCTTAGCAGTGCCACATCCACATCCATCCTCTGTTGGCCTGGCTGCACTGTGTCCATGCGACTTTCTGTGCGGGTGAGCCGGGTGCCTGGGCACAGGAGCTGCTGTCTGCTGGCTTCCAGGCTCCCAGGCAGGCAGGCGTCCCTGAGCCCCTTCTCCAGCTCCCTGCAGCTGCAGGGTGAAGGTCGAGGTCTGGCTCCTGCCTGTTCCTCCAGCCACATCTTCTACAACCTGCATCAGGTACCCCAGCCACGTTGGAGGCTTTGTCTCCTGCATTCATGTCTTTTTTTCACCGGCATGATGGCTAGGTCCTCTGCTTGGAATGGCCTTGTGTTCCTGATGTCCCCTTTGGAACCTTCCTGTCCCCTGCCCCCCCAGATGAGGTTCACCCACAGGCTCATGGCCCAGGGCCCTGGTGCTCAGCTTGCCTTCTTTGCTGCACCGAAGTGATCTGTGTGTGGTCACGCGTGGCTGAGAGCCCGGGGGCACAGGGACCTCCATCTTGGTCACCCTTGCATCTTGGGTGCTCAGCCCAGTGGGGTGTGGGCACCCTGCAGGCTGCAATGAGCGCGTGGGTCAACACAGGGCAGCAAAGAGTGCGTGGTGAGAAGTGCAGTCGTGGCTGGACGCGTGTTCAAGACATGGGGAAGCTCGAGGCAGGGGGATGGGCTTACCCTCTGGTTACCTTCCCGCTGGGCAGGAAAGACTTGCACTCTGACCAAGCATGTTCTGAGCCCTAACGACAAGGGTGGATGTGTGCTGCAGGGTCCCAGGGAAGGGGGCCTTCCCGGGTCGTGGGCTCTGAGCCGGGCCAGGCAGCACGGTGACATTTGGTTGGCTAGAAAGGGCGGGTGGCATTGTGGGTAGTTAACACTAGTTATATCTGCTGCGCTCACTTGGGGCTCTGGGGGCCAGGCTCTGGCCCTTGGCACTTTAGGCTCCGTAGCTCAGTTCATCCTCACAGTGAGCCCAGGACAGGGCCTGTTCTATTCTCATAGTACAGATGAAGAAACTGAAGCACAGAAAAGGGAACTTGCCCCGAGTCCCTCAACTGTGAAGTCCTCAGATACCGCCCATTCGGCCGGACACGCCTGCTTCCAGGGTTTGCGCGTCTTGTTCTTATTACTCCTGTTTGGGGTGTGAGCCTCTGGTCAAGGCTGATGTCATTCACTTACCTATTTGCACACTGTGCGTCAGTGGTTGCTGGGTCCGTTCTGACCGCCGCCGCGCTACAAGTGGAATTTGGTGTGTGCTTCTAACAAGCGATTCCGTTTGTTAGAGTCTGGTTTGTGAAAGCCATCCTGGAGGCTTTCCTGGGTCGTCAGGGATGCTGCTGTGCACACATTACAGGGTGGGGTCACAGCGAGTGGTCAGCAAGGGTGTAGAGAGGAGGCTCCCCTCACTCTGTGTGTGGCTCTGGGTGAGGCTGGAGGGTCTGGGTACATATTTGGGAATGAGTCCTCGATGCTGGTGAGGCCCCAGCTGACTCTTGAAAGCTGAGCTTCACCTGGGCTGGGGGTGGGAAGGCGGTTGCAGGCAGTGGGAGACAGGAGAGAAGGCCTACAGGGGTGCGGGTCTCCCACAGCCCAGTCTGGCTGAGGACCACTGGGGGAGACAGGCTGGGGGGTGGGGCAGGGGTCTGGGCCTGAAGGCACGCAGGGCAGGCAGTGGGAGGCTGCTGTGGGCAGTGGGAGGTCCAGGCAGGCCTGTGGGCCCCGTGGCTCAGTATCATGTGGCTGGTCCTCACGGGGCTCCCCCTTTGGGAGAGCAGGGCCAGGTCATCACGCTGATCCTGTGAGCCCCCAGCCTGGAGCTCTGCGCTAGTAAACCTTCACTGTTTTCTTTAACGGACTGGTGGGAAATGGTCTTGTTTTCTGCCTCTGGCGTCCCCTGAGAGGGGACTGGGACCAGCCCTGACTGAGTTAGTGCCCTGCTACGGAAACAGTGAGGCCCCGCAGACGCGGCAGCGCAGGGTCTCAGCTGTGGCCTGCTGACTGGTGTCCCTCATTAGTGTCCCCAAGCTGGCCCCTTCTGGCCCTGCAGCCATCCTGGCGGCGGGAGCTGCAGGGGCAGACACTGAAGCCCTGGGGCGGGGGAGGGTTCCTGGGGTGCGGGGACGAGGTGCTGTGGGGGTGAGGGAGTGCTCGAGCGGCTGTGTGCGCCCCCTTCTGAGTGACGGCAGACTGGCCCTGCTGGACGGCGAGGGCGAGGTGGGGCTGCTCGGACTTGGCGAAGCAGGAGCGCGGCGGGAGCAGAGCAGTCACCCCGATTACCGACCTCTGGTGTCTGCCCAGCCCCTGCTGGGCTCCTTGTGTTCCTCAGATCGGAGACCCCTCCACCCCCAGGGCCCCCCATCCACAGGCCCAGGCCCCGAAGGGACCCGTCTGGTTACCCCTGAGCTGCCCCGTCTGCCCCACGTTCCCCTCCCGCTGCTTCGGGACTGGAGGCGCCTCCGCCCTGAAGGAGGCCCTGTGAGTTGGCGGCCGGCCGCGGTAGCTGTGCCGTGACTGTGTTGATAAAGACCTGACCCCGCGCCGCTCTCCCGTACGGAGCTGCCGTCAAGCTCGTTCTGAAGGAGAGCTCGGCAAGGGTCTGAGGGCTTTAGGGAATCCAGGTATCGAAGTGCAAAATAGCGCCTGGGGACCAGAGGCTGGGCAGACGGTGAGGCTGGGTGAGGGGGTGGAACGAGCTCACTAGTTGGCCGGTGGCTGGCTGTCCCACACCCGTCCCCACCCGTCCCCACCTGTGGAAAGATGCCCTGTCACTGAGTCAGGATCCTCATGGCTGTGGGTCCCAGGGCCGTGCTTGGGCCTCCGCCTGTTCACATCTGTTCTTCTGTCCCCCGTGCCAGACCCTGGGTGTGGGCTGAGGGGTGCACACTGAGCCCGTGCGGGACTTTGGGCTGCAGGGTGGCTGTGAAGGAGGAGGGGGGATGGCCTCTGCAAAAGACGGCGGGGGGAGGCACCCTGAGGGGCAGTGGGGGCATTGATGTGCTGGGCAGAGCCAGTGTGCAGGGGATGGGTGCCCCCCCAGCCCCGGCCTCCCTCCCCCCCCCGCCGCCGGCCACGGCCCTGGCCACCTTTGGCTGCCCTCCACTGGGAGCCAGAGTCCATTCTGCCACGTATTTGGAAAGGGATGTGTTTTTAAAGCAGCAGTCCAGGACCAGTGTCCCCTGAAGGGGAACCACAGGGCACAGCAGCCCCCTTCCTGGGCTGGGCTCCCGGCTCTGCCTAGGCTTTTCCAGCTGTGCCGATGAGGAGCCCGGCCCCTCCCCTGCTGCACCACCCTCACTGAGGGTGCCAATGAGTGTGGGGGGCCGGGGGGAGTGTCCCATTCCCTCCCTCCCGGTCCCTGGTCCAGAGAGCCCGCAGCCGCAGGGGCGGCCATTCCGGCTGTCTGCAGCCTCCGGCCTGGGTCCCCGCTCACTCCCGTGCGGCCCTCCTTGCCCGGGGGCGTGGGGCTGGGCCGCCCTCCTGCGGACAGCACTTGGGGGTGCTGGTGCTCGCATGGCTGTGCTGCCTCCCTCCCTTGGCTTTGCAGCTCCCGATCACCTTTCCAGCCCCTGGGAAGCCTGCCGGGCCCACTTCTTGGCCTCCCGAGCCTGCCCTCGGGTGTCTGCTCCGCTGTCTGTCTGTCTGGGACGGCCAGCCCTGCCGGGTGACCGCCACCAGCTGGGTCGAGTACTGCTGTCGGAAGCCTGCCCGTGTGTGGGGCCTGCCACTCTGGCCTGCTCGAGCCCTACGGGGCGCAGGGCACATAGAGAGCCTCGCCTGGCTGGTTCCTCTCTGCCCGTGGTGTTGGGCTCCCTGTGGGCTCCCTTGGGGTCACCCGTGGTCCTGGGAAGGAAAAAGCACATAGTAGGTGCTCAGTAAACACTTGTGTGAGCACCGGCTAGTGGTTGGAAAGGGCTGTT